CAAAGAAGGAACTGAAGAAGAAGGGGCTTGAGGAACTGGATGCTGTTCTTGCAGAGTTAGGATTTACCAAACCAGAGTCAAGTGGCCCAAATGACTCCCATGGTAATTTACTCTTATTACACACGTGTATTAGTCTCCCCTCATTCTCAGATAGATGTTTTGTCTGATTTCTTTTCAATGGGACATAATTTTAATGCTGAAATAGGTAGAAGAAAACATATATCCACTATAAAAATTGGAAGTGCTTCATTACCTTTCGGAGACTGAAATGCTGTCCTAGTTTAACAATGAAGAATTCAGGAAGCACTCTCTTTAGAAGTCATTATTTTTCTTGGTTCATTTGTTATGTGTCTGGTTAAGCTCGATCTGGTGAACTGGAACTCTCGTTAATCTTCATGTTTTCTATCTCTTGTCCTAAATGGTTTGCTTTCCACATTTTTGTGCTGCTATCATTTACTAGCTGTAGTACAAGACCGGGATAGCAATTATTCGCCAGCATGTTCTTTAATCATTTATCTGAGAATGTAATGGGTTGAAATTGTAATCTTCTAAAGGTTGGAGTTGGACATCTATGCCTTGCCATATGACTTGGAACTGAGACCACTTTTAGTGGTGAAATTTTTTTTTTCACTATTGCATTGTTTATTTGGTGTAAATATTCTGCTCTGTTTGTTACTTTCTTTGATTGATTGTTTAGTAGTTTTTCTTACGTGAGATGAACAATTCCCTGATTGCAGGCATTGCAGAGGGGAAAAATTCAGACAGCAATGGAGAAATGGAAAAGAAAGAGAATGCTCCTGCTGAGAGCAAAAGTGCCAAAAAGAAGAAAAAGAAGGATAAATCGACAAAGGAGGTGAAAGAATTATCGCAGGGCCAGCCTGAAGGCATTGATGCTGGAAATGACACTGAAGAAACTGGTGAAACTGAGAAGCCAGAAGAGACATCTGCAGTTGATGTGAAAGAACGGCTGAAAAAAGTAGTTTCTATGAAGAAGAAAAAATCAGGTAAAGAGATGGATGCTGCTGCCCGAGCAGCTGCCAATGAGGCTGCTGCAAGGAGTGCAAGGCTTGCTGCTGCTAAGAAAAAGGAGAAGAATCACTACAATCAGCAACCAGTGCGGTAATCTGGGAAGAGCTTCGGGTTTTGCTTTTCATTTTAAATTCTCACATATGAACATGTACCCTCTCCTGTTTCTTTTGTCAATGCAAAATAAACTTTAAGTAAATGGTTTTTGTGAATGTGACTTTTAGCAGGCCGCTTTTGTTCTCAGAGAAAAATTCACTTGTTTTAATCTTGGTGTTTCTTTTTTCCGGATGGTAGCGGGAAATTCCTTATATGCTAGCTCACAATTAATATTGTATATCAGTACACCTAGTTGCTGGTAGTTCTATTTAGCAATTTCGTAGGAACTCGGAGTAAAAGCCAGAGTGCAAAGCATGGTATGGTCTACAGTGCACTTGAAAATCCAAGTGCTTGCATCATAAATACTGCAGCTGTTTGGTGTGTTACACCCCCCGTACTTAAAGATTGGGACATTCTTTAAAACAGCAGTCTCTATTCTACACCTCTCATGATCAATCACATTCTTGCAGGACTAACAATTCATGAGCAAATCATAGTTGATATGGGGTAGATTCGGATACTCACAATTCGTGCTGATTTGTTTACTAATATAGGGGCAGATTGAGGGTAGGAACGCCGCTCGTGCACTGAACCCCTACCCATCCTCCCGATTTATACTGGGTTTTCTCCAGCCACTTGCCCTTCCCTTTTCGATGTTTTCATCACAAGGTTGCATGTTTTTTGTCTGCATATGAAAGCGACTTCGTTCATGGCTTCATCATGAATCTAATCTTTTTTTTTTTCCATGTCTTAATTCATAGTTGAAATCTCCTAACATAATGCAAGCGTCTTTATGGTCAGTGAAAAACAATCGTCCACGAGTGCCACTGCTTGGCATGACCTCTCTCACCACTCTCCCATGGCTCCTTGGGTTCAAAAGCTTCATTTTCCTCACCTGCACGTCCCTACAACCATAAACCATTGATGGAACGATTCCGGTCATGCCGCCGGCTGCTCCTATTCCTGCTGTTCGTGGCAGCAGCTTTTACCTGTCGAACCCAGAAATTATGATTGGAGCACGTGTTTTGACACCAACTGCGTGTTTTTTAATAGATCAAAAGACTACCGTTCCACCAGAGAACCAGTCTTTGAATAGCAAAAATTTTCCGTGCCTAATTTTATGCCCCTATATTTTCAACCTGTTTTCAGAACTCTCCTCTAAATCCAAGGCTGAGAACTCTTTACCCACCATCGACCAATTTTTATCCATTTATGATGTTGTCACGTACACTGTGCTTGTCGAGTCTGTTGCAGCCAGCCACAACTCTGACACAGAAAATGCCTCCTCGGAGCTTTCGAAATCCTCTTCTCTATGGGTTGAAGTTGCACGCACTGGCTGCTGATCTTGAGATAACCTCTTTTCTAACCTCCTCAGAGCAACAAGTCTCCATCTGCTCTGCAGAAAAGTTCGTCGAAAGCGCAATCTCATAATGCTTCAGCCGAAACAACCTCAAAAACGTGCTTCATTGCTGCAATGTGGAATGAAAAAGACAGTGCATTTTCCAATGAAGTGTGAGAAGCAAATATGGTTCCTTCGCTTCATTGAGGAGTCCGAGGAATGCCGGTTTCCGGGTGCTAAGAGAGTGTGCTTGTTGTAGTAATTTGCCTTTGGGCTGTGGCTCCATTGCAGCAGTTTTATCGCAGTTGGTGCCGTTTCAAACGGGGATAAGCCACTGGTAGGCAAGGTCGAGAAATTGAAGAGGTAAAAAAATCTATGGCTTTGTCATTCAGCACGTGGGAACCACTTTTCACCATTCCATGCACCTTGATTCTTGGTCTACTTTTTGTGCTTGTTTAAACTTACTTAAAGCAGGAATGCTTATTTGGCTTTGCCTTATTCACTTACCAGATAAAGATGATGCTCATGTTACTGATGCAGATTTTATCCAAACAAGCGAAAAGATTTGACAGGATTTAACTTCCTTCTCAAACATTTGTTTTATTCTTTAGTCAAACTTGTCTTTTTATCCTCTATTGTATACTTTAAATGGTAATCTTTCTCTTACAAGTTACAAATAGAGGAAACTGCCCGGATATAAAGGCGAAGGAGCTGTATATTACTGTAAAGACTAATAAAATGACAAAAACGTGAACATTGCCGCACTCTAATTTCTGACCCCATGGCCATGGCCCCTGCTCCAATGGGACCTTCTGTTCATGTGTGTTTAACCCAACATGGGATATTTTTGTTTATCTTCTATTTATCTTCTATTTAAAATTATTAAATTTTACTAATGAATGGGTTAATATATTTTAAACAGTTATTATATAAAATAATAATATTTTCTCTCGATTTATTAAAATTCGTTATATTAACTTTCAACGCTTATAATACATAAATATTATTATAAATAGAATTTTAACGAACTTTAAAGAGTGTTCTAAGGACATCCTTTAATAATTTTTTTTTAAAATTTTTTTACATTTATGAGTATCTTGAAAACCTTTTTTTTAAAATTATTATGTTAACTAATTTTTTTAATATATTAAAACTTATCATGTATATTATTAATTATTGTAATAAATACAAAAAATTTTATTATAAATAATGTTTTCTATCACCAATGGGAAGTTGGTAATAGACACAGCAAATTACAATCACCTGCCCATCCAAATTTCAGTTACATCTATCAACTGGGTCCAACGCGTTTGCATGCCAGCCATATGTCTTGTTAATTTCTTGGCTTCTTATCCACCTGTTTCACACCTCACATTTTCAATTTTTCACAACAATGCGTTAGATTCCAAAAGGTCCAACGGGCGTGGGGCCCACATGATAGGACCCACTTCCTTCCAACCACAAAATCTAACCGGATCATCATCAGATCCAACGACTCACATTCACCCAACTGCGCTAAAATCCCAACATCTGAAAACACAGTCTTCACTCCCCGCTTGACCTTAAAACCCACAGCATTGATTTTTAACGTAAAATTAATTTTATTAAATACTCAAATAAGTTTCTAAATTATATTGAAAAAGTTAATTTAATTTTTATTTTTTTATTACACTCAAATAAACTTTTAAATTTTTATTTTTCTCAAATAAACTTTTTTTATTAACTGTTGATTAACTTCTGTTTGTCTATAATATATTTAATAATTTTTTATATCACGTTAGCTGTCGTATGACATATTGATGTATCATATTGATGATGTCAATATATAATTTAATATAAAAAATTATTGATTCAGAATTATATTTTTTTCATTCTAAATGTTCAAAAATTATTAATTAAGGATCTATAATAAAAAATTAAAAAATAATTATTTTAAATTAATTACCATCATTTCTTACTATTATTATCTTCTTAATTGAAGTCATACTTCCTAATAAAAAAAACTGAATTCAATTTTTTCTAGTTTGATTGAAACTATTATTGTTTGATTAAAAGTTGATATAAAAAATTTTGAAAATACCCAAAAATAATTTTGTGAAAAGAAAGAATAAAGGTGCATCACACAACATTTATAATATTGAAACTAATAAAAATATATAATATTGTTTCACAATAAAAAAAATAATAGAATTTGTAAGGAAAATTGGATGCTTTTCTCTTCTCTAAAATCTATAAGAAAAATCTAATGGTGTTGAATTTTATTTATCAATAATAATAGATTATTTTCTTATATCTTTTACAGTTTTTGAAAATTTAAAATTTTCTAAAAAAATAATTTTTTTTAAAAAATAAGAATTTGTAAATAAAAATAGAATATTCTAATTATAATGTACGTTGAGTTTAGACAATATTGAGAAAAGTGAAAATTTTTTTTATTAAAAATGACGATTTTAATTTTGAGATGATAATCAATTAAGAAAGATGATAATCAATTTCAAATAATTAATTTTTTTAAAATTCTTAATTAATAAATTTTAGGTATTTAAATAGGTAAAAAAATAAAAAAACTAAATTCATAATTAATAAATTTTTATATTATGTTATTTAACACGTGATATTTATGTTATCAGGATGACATGTTTATTTTTATATAAAAAATAAAATGATATTAATTAATTTTTATTAATAACAGTTAATTTAAAATAAAAATTTAAAAATTTATTTGAATGTAATAAAAAGATAAAAGTTAAATTAATTTTTTATATAATTTGGAGCTTATTTACGTAATTAACCAATTAACTTTTACCAGATAGATTAGGGCAAAAAAAAAAAAAGCTGGGGGCGGGGGGGGAGAGGGGGGAATTCAACCTTTTACGTGCATTTGCCCTAAGAAGCCCCATCAAACGCCACGTTTTTTGATGAAAAAAGAAAAAAACAGTCCAAATTCCCAACAGAAAAAAAGAAGAAGAAAGTAACAGAAAGAAGAAGAGAAGGGTTTCCTTACTTCATTTCTCATTTTTCTTTCCTTCTGTTTATATTGAGAACTTGAAAACACTTAACCTAGATTTGAAGAACACCTTGCTTTACCTTGCCTATCTTAGATTTGAAGAACACCTTGCTTTACCTTGCTTTATCTTCCTTCTTCTTCTTACAATTTCCCGAATTAAAACGTTGATAACAATCCGTTCAGGCATTTTTCAGATCATCTGGGAAAACCACAAATTAAAATTGAACTTTTTTTTAATCGGTTTTTCGTTATATTCCACTAATATTCGAATAAAATCTCAGTTTCTGCTTTTTAAATCAAGAACAAAATTTTTTTCACAACCCCAGAAATTTTCATTGCTTAAAAATCGTTTGGTAAACTTCTGTTCATTTAGAATTCAGAAGTGTTAAAAGGTTTTTGGGTGTGTTTGGTTACGAGGGTGGGGATATAAAAATGGTGGGAGGAGGGAATAGCAGGAGGGATGAGCCTTTGGTGATTAACAGCACCAATGTTTTTGCGGCGCTTGGGAGTTTGAAGAAGAAGAAGAAGAAGAAGGGAAGTGAAAAGGAACATCAAGGCTCCTCTTCTAAGACCAAAGGGAAAAAGGGAGGGAGAAGGAAGCGGAGAAGAAAGAGGTTCTGGGCCCCATCACCTCTCAAGATGAAGTCTTGGGCTGACGTTGATGACGAAGATGATGATGATTATTATGCCTCCATGGCTCCTCCTGGTTCTGCTTGGGACACTCATAAAGAACCTGAGCCTGCTTTAGAGGTCAGGACTTTGTTTTTGGTTTCAATATATTGTTTTCATGATTAGATGATGATGAGTTTTTGTTTTGATATGTTTTTTTCTCTTGGTTTTTGCTGGTATTTGGATCATCCAAATGATGATAAGATTTAGTATTATGTTTATGATAATGGATATGATGTAATGCATTGTCATCTATTCATGAAGTATGGCTTTTGTCTGGTGATGAACGGAATGCTTTTTCGTCAATGTGGACTGTTTTTTTCCCCCAGAAGCTGTGTATTTTTTAGTTTAATAAATGTGGGCTTTGGATTTTTTCTTTTAATCTATTCAATTAAAGAGTTGGACTATGATAGATGATGATTATGCTTCCTTTAAAGAGAAATTGTTTGTTCTGGAAACATGTTTTAATTATGTGATTCTGACTAAAATTTCTTGCAGTTGGTTTATCTGCGATTTACTAGATACTAGGAAATGAAACTTATAATATGGATCCGAGAATGCGTTTGGATTTATGAGCACCATGATGAGGAATTCTGTATGGAGGTTACATATCCATTCCTGTTATGCATTGTTTTCAATAGCAATCAGTTTTTTCCCATCCTCTTTAGCCAAAGAAGTATATTTTCTTTATAAAAGGAATTGTTTATATCTTTGTGCTTAATATGTTTAATGAATGAATAATGTTGATAGTATACATGCTGTAGTTACTGAGTTAGATTTTTTTCCTCCACACCCAAAATGCAGGGTCCTCTTGCTTTGATCATTCTTCTGGTCTTTTGGTTGCATGAAATTGAACTTGATTCTGAAAACTAACATTTGTATGATGTAATCTGTTTATGGTTCTGCGCTACCTGGTTTACACGTGTACACAATTGCCATTTTGGTTGTATTCACTGTTTTAAAATTTATATGTGTATGTGGTTGTCTTCACGTTGAACTTTGGATGCCGATTTCCTGTTGGTCTTCTGAGATCTGATCATTTAGTTATGCGAGACTAAACTTGATTCTTAAACCGTACAGGTGTCCACAGTCCCCTTGTTTGAGGGTTGGGTGCCACTTAATTCATTTTACACGTATGTTTAGTCAGTTTTGGTCGTTTTGACTATGATGAGATATACCAAATAATTTGATTGTCATCATTAAACTTTTAGATTAGTTTCGTTTTTGCTATTACAAACAAATGTATGGGATGTCGTCACTTAGTTTGTTGGATTCAATGCATTAAATATGAAATCAGCATGTGTACATGGAGGAAACTCTTTGGCATATATGTTTCTGGTTGACTTGGTGCTATCCTCTGCTCCTGGATCAGCTGAAATTATTAAACGCCTCCCCATCATAAACCTTTGGAACTAAAATTATTGTTGTTGTTGCATGAGCTTTTTTTTTTTATTTATTGCAAGAGTGAAATGAACTGCTACAAAAAATTTCCATCAATAGCCTAGGAAATGCCCTTTAGAGATTGTAGATAAGATTATTTATCTTCTTCTCAGCTGCAATATTACTGATAAAATCGGTATTATCTTGTGAAGATATTTAAATGTAAATTTTAAATCATACTGTGGATGAATGTGTGATTAGATGCCTAAAATGATTCTGTCATGGAAAATGATATTTATAGTAGTGCAATTCATAGTGTGGAAAATGATAGATCCTAATTAATTGTATACCTTGTTGGGTGCAGCCTAGACTGTCTTTGTTAAGTCAGTGTTTGATTAAAATGATTCTAGTTGGCAAAATGGCTGAGCAGTGGTTACAATTTCAATGCCAAATGTCTGAGTAACATCAAACTGTAGTTTATAGGAATGAGAGGGGAAATGGGGGGTTACCATTTCAGTCGTTGTAAATTATACTTTTACTACTATATTTCAATTTGAGTGATAAAAACTCTCGAAAATGTGTTAAGGATATCTTGAACCTGGTTTTTGCTTTGTGAATGTCTTATGAATGCCATCATTATTTGGTCTTTATTAAGTTATTTTTTTTCTTAATTTTCCATTCCAGGAAAGTGAAAGTGAGGAAGAAGGCCTGGATGAAGTTGATGATGATGTTGAAGAAGAACATGAAAATGAAGCTGAGGCCCAGGTGGAAGTGCAGCCAGTTATGAAGAAGCCTCCTGAAGCTGCTATGGTCACTAAGGAGACAGAAAGACAGCTTTCAAAGAAGGAACTGAAGAAGAAAGGGCTTGAGGAACTGGATGCTGTTCTTGCTGAGTTAGGATATACCAAACAGGAGACAAGCAGCCCAGACGACTCCCATGGTAATTTAGCTTATTGCGCAGCTGAATATTAGTCTCCTCATTCTCAGATACATGTTTAGTGTGGTTTTGTTGTAATGGAACATTGGTTTAATGCTGAAGTAGGTCTAAGAAAACATATATCTACCATGAAAATAGGAAGTATTTAATTACTTTTTCGTAGATTAATATGCCTTTTCCTGGTTTAACAATGAAGAATTTAGCAAGCGTTCTCTCTTTTGAAGTCATTATGTTTCTTGGTTCATTTGTTACAAGTGTCTGGTTAAGCTCCATCTGGTGAACTGTAATACTGTTTACTCTTAATGTTATTTATGTCTCTTGTTCTAAAGTGGTTTGCTTGCCACATTTTCCTACTGATATTACCTACTAGCTATACTGCAAGACTTAGATAGCAATCTTTTGCTAGTATGTTTTTGAGAATTTATATGAGAAAGTAATGGGTTGAAATTTTTATCTTCTAAACTTGGACTTCTATGACATGTCTTATGGCTCAGAACTGAGACTTTCCTTTAAGTGGTGGTTGTTATTACTGTTGTACTCTATATTTGGTGTTGACTATTCCGCTGTTAATTGCTTGCCTCGATCAATTACTTAGTAGTTTTTCTTACATGAAATTATCTTTCCTGATTGCAGGCATTGCACAGGGGAAAAAATCCGAGAGCAATGGAGAAATGGAAAAGAAAGAGAATGCTCCTGCAGAGAGCAAAAGTGCCAAAAAGAAGAAAAAGAAGGATAAATTGTCAAAGGAGGTGAAAGAATCATCGCAGGGCCAGCCTGAAGGCATTGATGCTCGAAAAGACACCGAAGAGACTGGTGAAACTAAGAAGCCTGAAGGGACATCTGCTGTTGATGTGAAGGAGCGGCTGAAGAAAGTGGTTTCTACAAAGAAGAAAAAATCAAGTAAAGAGATGGATGCTGCTGCCCGAGCTGCTGCCAGTGAGGCTGCTGCTAGGAGTGCAAGGCTTGCTGCTGTGAAGAAAAAGGAGAAGAATCACTACAATCAGCAGCCAGTGCGGTAATCTGGGAAGAGCATTGAGTTTTGCTTTTCTTTTTAACTCCTCACATATGAACATGTACCCTCTCCTGTTCGTTTGTTAATGCAAAATAAACATCAGTAAATGGTTTTTGTGGATGTGACTCTCATCGGGGCACTTTTGTTCTCAGAGAAAAAAATCAGTTACTTTAACCTCGGTATTTCTTCTTTGTGTTGGATGTTAGCAGAAAATTCTTTATATGCTAAATCAAAATTAATATTTTGTATTGTTATGCCTGGTGCTGATAGTTCTCTTTAACAATTTATACTAGGAACTCAGTGGAGAATGCAGGCTGCAGAGCATAATATGGTCCATCGTGCACTTGAAATGCAAGTGTTTGTGTCATAAATACTGCATCTGTTTGGTGTGTCATACCCCATCCTTAAAGATTGGAAATGAAAGAAGTAATGGTAGTAATGGGTGGAGTGCAAGATTGGATTGGAAAGAGTTATTTTGGTTGATTTGTTTATTAACATAGGGGCAGATTGGGGGTCGTCGCCCATGCAATCAACCCTACCCACCCTCCCAATTTATATGGGGTTTCGTGCAGCCAATTGCCTTTCTCTATTCGATGTTTTCATTTCCCAGTTGCATGTTTTTTGTCTGCATATAGTTTTCTGCACAATGGCAGGGGTTGTTGTCAATGACTTCATTTCATGCCATCATCATGAGACTAATCTTTTCCTTATCTTAAATTCATAGTAGAATATAAGTTATCCCATAAAAGATTGTTATCAAGATACAAAAACACAGTCGGTAACAAATAAATCTCGGCCAGTATGATGCAATCTTAGATCCCTTTTCTGTGGAACATGAAAGATATGAGCCTCAACTGTTTCATACCAACAATTCTTGAAAATCCCCTGATATAATGTAAGCATCTTTGTGCTCAGTAAAAATCAATCGTCTACGCGTGCCATTGCTTGGCATGACCTCTCTCACATGGCTTCTTGGGTTCAAGAGCTTCATTTTCCTCACCTGCACATCCCTATAACCATTGATCGGAGGATTCAAGTCATGCCGGCTGCTCGTATTCCTGTTGGCCCTGGCAGCAGCCTTTACCTGTCAAACCTTGATGATATGATTGGAGCACGTGTTTTCACACCAACTGTGTTCTTTTACAGATCAAAAGACTTGAGTTCCGCTAGAGACCCAGTCATAAAAACATTGTGTGATGCACTAGCCAGAGTTTTGGTTCCTTATTATCCTTTATCTGGTAGGCTCAGAGAGGCCAAAAATGGGAAACTAGAAGTGTTTTTTGGACGAGAACAAGGTGCACTTGTGGTAGAGGCACACTCCAATATGGCATTGGCTGAATTAGGAGACCTCTCAGTGCCAAACCCAGCTTGGGCGCCATTGGTCTATAGGTTCCCCAATGAAGAGCCATATAAGGTTCTTGACATGCCATTAGTTATAGCTCAGGTGACCGTTTTTCGCTGTGGTGGATTTAGCCTTGGCCTGAGACTTTGCCATTGCATCTGTGATGGCCTTGGTGCTATGCAGTTTCTTGGTGCATGGGCTGCCACAGCAAAAGCAGGTGCATTGGTAACAAAGCCTGAGCCCTGTTGGGACAGGGAATTTTTCCAACCTCGAGATCCACCAATGGTAAAGTATCTACATCCTGAATTTATGAGAATAGATGAAGGTTCAAGCTTAACGATGAGTCTATGGAGAGCCAAGCCTGTTCAAAAGTGTTACAGAGTTAGCCCTCAGTTCCAAGCTCAACTAAAATCTCTAGCTCAGCCTAATGACATGCTTGCATGCTCTACCTTTGATGCTATGGCAGCTCATGTTTGGAGGTCATGGGTGAAAGCACTTGATGTAAAACCACTTGACTATGAACTTAGGCTTACATTTTCAGTCAATGCTCGTCCCAAACTGAAAAACCCACCATTGAAAGAAGGGTTTTACGGTAATGTAGTTTGTCTGGCATGTGCAATGAGCCCTGTATATGATCTTATCAGGGGCCATCTCTCGGACACTGCTCGATTGGTTCGCGAAGCCAGGCTTGGCGTATCAGAAGAGTATGTAAGATCTACAGTTGACTATGTTGAAGCAGACAGGCCAAGAAGGCTTGAATTCGGAGGGAAATTGACCATAACACAGTGGACTAGATTTTCCATTTATGAATCTGCTGATTTTGGGTGGGGAAGGCCAATTTATGCTGGTCCAATAGACCTGACCCCAACACCACAGGTTTGTGTATTCTTGCCAGAAGGAGGCGCTGATCCTAGTGGAACTATGGTGGTCTGTATCTGCTTGCCTGAGTCTGCCACCAATAAATTTACTGAGTTTCTATGTTTAAAGGATTTCGTATGATTTTAACGGTGAATAACTAGTCTGCTGCGCGCGATGAACACATATGGTCAATTTTTTTTTTCAATTAAGTTGAGAATATTTTGTAAAATAGATATGTAATAAGAATTATATTATCATATGTAATTATTGATATACATTAAAATGTATAAAATATTATTTTACAATATATTGATATTCGTGGTGGTATTTTTATACAAAAACACATCTATAAATAACTTTATTATAAAATAAAACTTTAAATAAAAATTTTTAAATTTACTATAAAATATATAATAACTTAATCTCCTTCAAAATCCTATTTTTAATCGACTGATTTGCACCACCTTACATTAGTTATATTTAATATTAAAAAATAATATAAAAGTAATAAATAACAAGATCAAGAAAAATTATCTTTTATAAATATCCACATATAAAAAGTTAAAAAAAATCTAAAACAATAATCTCGAAAAAAAAAATCTAATCCAAACCTAATCTTATCATATCTCAAACCCACGTTTCAAAAACCCAATAATGAACTCAACCCCATTAATCTTCAAGCTCATTTTTCAAAAACTCAATCATGCGTTAAGTTAAGAACTCTATCAAGTGTTAAGCCTAAACCCAACCCTTTCAGACCTCAAGCCTATGTCCAAAGATCCAATCACATACCAAATCAAGAATTTTGTTGTATTAAATGTTAAGTCCAAACCCAACTCCTTCATACCTCAAGCCCATATCTAAAGGTCCAATCACGTGTCAAACCAACAATCTTGTCAAGTGTAAACCCTTTAAAACTTCCTTTAAATATAACAAATCTTTTTTGATTATTTGTAATTTTCAATGCCTAATTTATGGTAAAAGCTTAAATGAGATATTTATTAACTGTAATAGAGGCATCTACATGCATCTGAGTGGTTTTTTTTTCATAGTCAAGTTAATTTAATGATTTGAAATTGTATAATCAGTTCTCTATTTGTTTATCGTTGATGAAACAAAAGAATTGTACAAATTATAGTACTTTGTTTTACTATTAATTTTTTCTTTTTATATTTTTTTGTTTATTTTTATAAATTTTAGATAATAAGATAGATTTGAAAAGAGGTATTCTAGTAATGTCAAATTTTATATGTGTTTAAAAATAAACTTTAGAATAAAAAATAGAAAAATACTTTGCAAACACTCATTTTAAAAATTTTATGAATTTTGTGTTCATTTTTATAACTGTCATTAGAATATTGATATTTATGTGGGCAAGCTCATGTTATAGTTTTAATTGATTTTCATTTATTTGATTGTTAAAAATTTTCTTTTTATGTTATTAATAAATTTATAAAATAAGATTGATAAAATAATTGATATTATCTAATAATTAAGTATTTCACCAAAAGTAAACTCTTTCCTAAAATAAATGAGCTTGAATGATGAAAATTTAAAAAATATAACCAATATTTGTAAAAATATAATTAACAATGTGGCTTCCTAATCTATGACGCCATGTCAATAGATTTGGTGCTACATTACCAAACAAATTCTCTTAGAGTGTTTAAATGTCAAACACTCAAAATAATTCATTTGACGAATTAAATTTTTTTATTTTAAGGGTTTTTATAAAAAGATTAGTTAGTTTTAACTTTTTAACATGTTTTAGATCTTAGATCAAGAGTTTTGACTTTTAATTAAAGAAGATTAATCTTTCAAATTTAATTCTAGCAATTATTCAAATGCTACAATTGGACAGTCTAATACTAGCATAAAAAAACTGTGTTTAGCTAACTATTTTAATTATACTAAAACATCATTAAAATTGAAAAAAATAATGACAGTACACAAAATCACAATTTTTGGAAGGGATTTTATCAATTAAATGAGAGGTGCAAAATGTAAGGTGGTAAAAACCGAAGATTACTGATTGATCAAAGCTAAAACTTGAGTTGACAGTTTGTTGTTGCTGTTATCGGGGCAGTAAAGGGCCCAGGGCTGACACGGCTCTTACTTTATTATTGTTATGCAAAAAAAAA